CATACAAGCTGACGACCAAGGAAATGATGACATCTCCCTCCAGTGCTGAATGTAATATTTTCAGACACATCACCAATGTGCTTTGTACATGTCACTTGTCGCCCTGCGATATTGCTCACCCTCTCATACTCATGGTGTCACAAGGTGAGCTTGGGAGTTCCCTGGCACCCGCACCATAGCACCTGAAAGCTTAAAGGAACAAGTGACCCTACTTTGAAATGGAAACAGACCATAAAATATCTTATTACACGGCTCTCTGGAATGCTTGATTCTGATTGATCAGTTGAGACATTTGCAGGTTCGTTCTTTTCAAATAATAACCGCTCCAAAGTAATAACGCATAGCCGGTACTACTTGTATGTTTAAAATCCCTCCGTGCCAACAAAGATTAACATTTAAAAATGTTAATTTAAAACAAATATGCCAATAAAATGTTTCAAATTCATATTCATGTCCAGTTTTTTTCCTTATGTGGCAAATAGCCGTGTAATAAGCGGGATAATGTACAGGCAGCCGCTAGCCTCCGCTTCGCGTCGGGTCCTGATCACACTGTCAGGGCTTATTTCTGTGATAACTACCGGCTGCCTGTACATTATCCCTTACTTGTACCCCCACGCAATCACCAGATGTAAAACTGTGGAAATTATCTGGGTTACACTGCCCCCCAGTGACACACCAGGTCATGATGTGTTTCATTTTTTTCCCCAATACCCTGGTTCTGTTTCTGCTGAGGCAAACAAATGTGCAAGATTAAAATGCAAAATTTTGAGATACGTATCGCGTTGGGCAGCGGGTGACGAAGACGGAAATGTCAGATAAGTAACAGCACTAACATACATAGTGTTCCGGGGCCCTAGACAGCAAACTGACTTAGACCCCTTACAAAGGCCTAAATATCTATGACTGTATAAAACTACTGTTTAGTAAAGAATATAAATAAATACCAAAGAGATTCTTCAAATCCAGCAGAGTGAGAGTAGAAATACACAAGGATGAACCACATACTGTAGACACATTCATTGTACTACGACAATGAAGAACTCACTCTACAATCGATTCATCATCAGTGAGGGCTACAGTAATACAATCTGGCTGAGAGAGTGCACCCCACATGTGACTTTGCGGGAGACCCCCTTTCTGTGGTTTCCCTGTATGGATTTGCATAGCCAAAGCACAGCTTAAGGTTTTCCTCTCTGCGTTTCGGAGGCTCGTTCACCATGTTCTGGCTGGAGGGAAGGTGAGGTGTGACACAGCCTGGACGTCCACCTGTGCATCACATACATCTCCTGATGCAACAGCCTGGATTTTTGTGTTACATGATTCATATAAACCTGTTGTGTGCAATGACAATTTAAGTATTCTATTCTATTCTATTCTATTCTATTCTATTCTATTCTATTCTTTAGCTGATGTGACATAATAATTTTCCGAGGTTTAGATGGCCCTGTGGGTCACATGCCTGTCTCACACCTCCTGGGTTTGGCGTTCAAATCCAGTCTGTGCGTGTAAAGCTTCTATGTCCTTCCTGTGCTCTCCCTTCCTCAATGCTGTGCTGCAATGGACTGGCATCCCATCCAGGGTGTTCCCCTTCCCTGTGCAAGCTGAAAGTTGCAACAGCAGATTAAATATGACCAATTCCACCTCTGTGTTAATTACAGCAGACAGGCCAGTGATATTCTCTTGAGACCCAAGGAAAAAAGTGTCCTTCAATTTTAGGTTATTTGGCTTTGGAGGAAATAAGACATCTTACAATTTAGATTTTTTCAAATTTATTTTTATTTTTAATTTCACAGCATGTCCTCTTTAGTGTACAACAGGAATAAATAAGTTTCCTTACATCAGTGAAAAGACAGATGCAAAAACAAAATGTCCACTACAATGGACATAGATGAATGGGTGAGGTCTCAGGAGGTTACAGTGCTTGAAGAAACACAGGGTGAATTACCTTTATGTCGAGGTGATTTGATCGAAGCAGCACGTTCCCAGGACCAATTCCCAGAAACTGGCATAATTTCAGTGCATATTGTGTGTGTTTTTTGTGTGTTTAACAGCATGCAGTCTGATAAGACTGGAGCTCTCAATGATTAGATCACCTTTCTTCTTCCAGTCCAGGAAAACACCAGCTGAGGCAACTGTTCCAGAACTTTTCCATGCTTCCAGAAACTTATATGTACACCCCCCCCCCCTTCACAGTGAGTGAAAAAGCAGCTCTTGTAAATATTGAGACGCTGCCATATTTAACCCTAAAAACACTCATCTTAAAAATAACAACGGTGGTAAAAGAAATGTCAGACACAAAGGTCACAAATGAACACTTCCTACACCCACTGGGATGGAAACACTGAATGCCATGATCAGAAACAGGCGACACTTTATAAATAAATACCCCGCTGAAAGCTTTAATATTACGTTTGTGTGTGTGTAAAAAAAAAATGTGATTTTGATTGTTAGTTTAACAAGGCTAGCAGATAACTATAGAGTTTGGCAGTTTCATGATGTAACAGGTTTGGGCCTAACATGAAATCGTCCCGATAACTTTATAAGCTTTTTTAAGGCACCAGGGCATCAGGCTGGAAGCATCTCACACAGATTTGAGTAATTCAGGAATGCAGAATCCTAAGCTCAGTGTAGGTGTGGCACACATTTTAAAGTGTCTTCAGCCTGTGCCAGCTGACAAAACCATTTATCAACAACCTCGTTGTTGTTTTTTTTTTTTTTTGCTTTCCAGGAAAATAATTGCATAATTGGATGTAGCCTTCAATTCTTCCTCCAGAGCTTCTGTGTAGGTGGCTGTAGGTCCGTGGCACCAGACATGCCAAAATATGCACGTGACTTTGCAACAGAATGACAAGAGCTGATATGTCTACTATAGCTAGAGTGTTGGGGGAAATGAACTGAGTGACATAAAGCAGTGGTTGGGCTAGCACCTGTTTTTTAATGGGTAGGGACCACATTTCATAATTGTAGAGTCAGTACCTTCTGTGATCTTTCCAAAGAAGATGGTCTCTGCGGCCTGCATTAGTTAGACAGTCCTACATTATCTGTTGGGAATGTTCACACCTCCTCTGGTTGTGGAAGAGCGCTGACGGAAGTTTCACAACTGCTGCATTTTTATGGAAAATGATGCAGACGTGAAAAAGACCAACAAAAGAAAAATGGCAAGTTCTGCCTGATCTCTGTCGGGTCACGCGAGCAGCCTGTGCCAGCTCATTACCCAGCAGACCTCACCTACCCAGCGTAAGGACATCCCAAACAGGTGCAAAGGCATCAGGTGACATGCAACGTGGCCTTGTGTGGCAGCGATCTAATTGGTTAGTTGAGCGTGTGCCTAATGCAGAGAATCCTCTTACCCTCTCTGACTTATCTTGGTGGGGATCTAATAAGTCCCAAACGTGTCGTACAGAGCGTTTAGGAATACAAGGACACACAGAAGAGGTCATAGCTGGCTGACACAGGTGCCAAAAAGGTGAGAAGTGCCTTTATTATTATTTTTTTTCTAGCACATTCCAAAGAGGTGCCAGAATTCTCATGAACGTCTGAGATATATAGATATATATTAGCTACATATTAGCTATATATAATTCAAGGCATTGAAGTGTACAGAATGCGATTTGTGACAATAACTAGTAATGGACGATAATAAATACTCAATAATGAGTGAGCATGAATGAACGTTTACTGTTGCATAGGTGTTAAAATGGGCTGTAATTTGGCTCTGACTCATGTCAATGGCGTAGACTACAATTGGTATACAAACGGATTCCAAAAAAGCTGTTATGCAATGGTAACGCCGTAAACAAGTGGTTCCCACACTTGAAGTATGTGCCTCCAGTTACCCCGGTCAAGAAATATGGAGGTGACGGAAGCATGTTGCATACACCTGAGAAGCATTTGTCATGCAATACCAAAAATGCATGCTGAAACTATGATGCACTGTATTGGAGTTTGTCCTTTGATGCTAAAAAGGATTTTTTAACTAGGGGAAACAGCTACCTTAACCTTTAGCATTACACATCAGAGGCTTGTAACGCTGTATCATGGGGCTTAATTTTTTCCCATCATCCTCGGCATGTTATCCTTGAGTTGAATTTTTTTCATGTATACCTAAATATTTACACAAACAGACTGAAATGACCCCATAACACATACGAGATGATGGACTTCTTTAAGCTGTGGATTTCTGGGCGGTTATTTAACACGGTTGCTCGAGTTTTATTCCTCCACCAATCACGTCCAGTAGCTCCCATGACATCATGACAGGCTGGCACCTCTCTTAGAAGCAGATGCAGACAAACCAGTAAGATGCACCAGTGTTACCCAACTTCACGTGGTGAGAAACAAACCCGCGTGAAGCCTGTAGCATCGCACGGGGCTTACATGTGTGAATCGGCATTTTCGGCTTTTGGAAACATCTACGAAAGCTTTGGAGATTCCATATCCATCTGTGCGGGTGACAGTGTAACATAGCACAGCTTGATGCATTTTTATGGCTGATTTTTTATTTTTAAATGAGCTCAACAGTTCAGTGAGTCATTGGGGGGGCACCCACCCCCCCTCCCTGGTGACAGAACCAGACATCATTTCCAGCTTTGAATAACCTTAAATGTTATTACAGCAGTAAACTATCTGGATCCTCCACAGTGATAGGAGACGGCTAGGATGTATGCGAGGTCAGGAGGAGCGAGGATTTGGATCAGCTGAGTTTACGTGCGGTGACTCATTCGGGGGAGGTCCTGACATGTGCTCATACCTTGGGTTGATGTGCCACACGCTTGGAAAAATTTACCCAGAAGCTTCTTCCACAGGTAGTGAGGCCACACGGCTGGTAACGGGTCTCTTAGCCCGACTTCATGAGAATTGTGGCCGCCCACCCATCCTCCATAACCACTCAGCTGCTACAGGATGACGCTGAACCTGGAGTTTATGCCTGGAAGCACAGGGGCTCAAGGAAGGGGAGACACTCACATGCACACAACTGCACGCAATGCAATACGGAAGCGTTCAGGGAGGGAACGGAAGCCACAGCTATAAGGAACCGAAACGGTGACGAGATCAGGAAACCGAGCAATTAGTCTGCCAGACACTTTTGGCCATTAGTCATTTAAGCTTCCGATTTTCTAATAACCACACTATTAAGGGGAGATGGTTTTCTACAGAAATTCGATTTCAATATCTGAATCGGGTCCAATTCCCATAAATCCAAATTCAGAGTAACTGACTGGACCACAATAGTTGGAAGGAACAGAGAACAGATGATAGCCCCCCCATTTCAGTAGGTTTCTCATTCTGGTCCTTGGGGGCTCCCAGTACTCCATGTTTTTGCTTCCTCCCAGCTCTTTGCTGAAGAAGGGAGCAAAAACATGGAGCATCTGAGGGTCCCCGAGGGTTAGGGCTGAGAAACACTGATCTAAACAAAGTTTCATGGACACCTACAGTAGCATCACGACTCTGCTTATGGCCCCGATGGGATCCATACAAAGTAGGTGTAGTGGATATATTGCTAATCCTCTAATACCACATCGACCTCGTTCTTCTAAATCATGCTGGAACTTCGCTTGGTCAACCGCCACAGACTGGAGTCTGGAGGCACTTCCAGAGCAGGAAGGCGGGGCTGTGAATGCAGGGCTGGCTCTAGCTGTAGGCAATCCTGCAATCCTCTAATTACCTGTGTTGCAGAGGAAGTGAGATCATTCATTTACTTGGTAGGGCTCTCCACAGATGTGAAATTTTGGACCTTCCATTTTCACATCCGGATGGGGAATTTCACAGAAATTCAAACATTATGTCATTGCTCATGCTTATTGTAGCCAGAATCCAAAACTGAAAAATGTCCAGGTTTTTCGCTTCCTGGATGTTCAGCTTCCTGGAGTGATGATCGCAGCTGGTAATTGGTGGTTAAATATGATTTCCAGTATTTCACCATCTAGATCAGTCCGGCTTTTCATTGCACAAAGGATTCATTGGAAGTTGAATACTGTAAGCCAGATATAAGTAAATGTTGGGGGTTACAAAAATACAGGGATGTTGATGTGAGGAGCTAAAGTCATTCATAAACAGAATCAGGAACTCACATGGTGTGTGGGAGTATGTTGATATTTACAAAGCATGGATTTACTGCCCATGGAAAATTCCCCCTTAACAACTATCCCATTGAAGTATGTGTGGGAAGCATCAGTTCTCACAAACACAAACATAAACATACTTTGACAATCAGCTGCTCTGGATTTCACAGGGCCTCTGGTGTTTTCCTGTCAGAACTAGCTAAAAGGATCAGCTGCTCCCTGGACACAATGTCTGGTCTCGCTGTGCTTGAAGAGGAACTTCCAGCGACGCACACAGGTGAGATATTCCATGGCCAAGGTGACCGCATTTAATCGGAAGAAATAAGAGATGCCGCACCCACCGCCACAAGCCCCAATGATAAAATTTCCCGAGTGGGGTGCAGGGGGATGGGGAGATTGCGTTGTCCGAAAAAACTGGTTATAAATAATGGTTCAAAATGAGACACAGCGTGTCGCATTTTATTTTACAATGTGGGATGATCCTGTAAAATAAGGGACATTTGGCAACCATATCTGTGGCCCACAATCTTGCTGAAGTGGAGTTTGAGGGGTTGTCCTACAGTATAATGCAGGGGTCTCCAATTCCGGTCCTGGAGAGCTACTATCCAGAAGGTTTTCTATCCCACTTGGCTTCTGATGAGCCACACCTGTTCCTGCTATTTACCTGAGAACAGGTGTGGCTCATCAGAAGCCAGGTATGATAGAAAACCTACTGGACGGTAGCTCTCCAGGACCGGAGTTGGAGACCCCTGGTATAATGAATCTCAAAGATCAAAGGAATCACAGACTGCATCCATATGGCCTCCCTTGCTGTGTCATGGATGCGCTATCAAATATCACCCATGCCTCTTCTACTACTAAAACTGCACTTGCAGGCCCCAAAGGGGTTATCAATGATTGGCGGAAGTTCAAGCTGGAGACTGAGGACCACGACAACATGCCTCCCAGCAAGCGCGAGCTCCTGCGGCAGATGTCCACCCCACAGAAGCCCGAGGAATTCGGCGAAAAAGTCAACCGGAAGGTCAGCTATCTGATCGTGTTTCCATTGCCTAGCAGGGGAACTCCCCAAGTGTTCAGATATCGTTGCATCTGCACAAGCCTGCTTATGGGCCTCACTTCATCAAAAAATCCCACGTACTAGTCCTATTAACCTAGCTAAGGAACAAGGTCAGAGGTCAACTGAAACTCCTAGCAGTTCTCAGGAAGTACCATTAACTAGCCATGTGTAAATAATCAACAGAAACTGTAACTGCTATATGGATCAGATAAGTAATCCCAGGGTTTATCTATTGTTCTTGAGTCTGCTATCTGTTCCCATACCTGCTGCCAAGCAGATGAGCACACAGGAGTACGAGCTGATCCAGCAGGAGGACGAGATGTGTCTGCGCAAGTACCGCAGGCAGTGCATGCAGGAGATGCACGAGCGTCTGAGCTTCGGGCCCAGGTTCGAGGGTGTGTGTGAGTTGGAAAACGGCGAGGCCTTCCTGGACGTCATCGAGAAGGAGCACCACCTGACCCTGGTGGCTGTGCACGTCTACGAGGACGGCGTGCCGGGCTGCGAGGCCCTCAACAGCTGCCTGGACTGCCTTGCTGCGGAATACCCCGGCATCAAGTTCTGCAAGATCCGCGCCTCCCGCACCGGTGCCGGCGACCGCTTCCCGGACGACGTGCTGCCTGCCGTGCTGGTATACAAGGCCGGAGAGCTGCTCGGCAACTTCCTGCACATCACGCAGCACCTGGGCGAGGAGTTCTTCGCCGTGGATGTGGAGGCGTTCCTGAACCAGTACGGATTCCTGCCGGAAAAGGTGTTTACTGCCTGCCCCAATGACGAGGACGATGCTGACATAGAATGAGGAAACCATAGCCTCTAAGCCACAGATCTCTCCCAGCTATAATACACATATACGTGCAGATTTGTATGCAGCCCCTCATGCACACAATTACAGTCAGAATTCTTAGGTGCTTTAGTGTTGCCATACTATGCCACCTTAAAGAAACGCCATAGCTGCATAGTTTATTCAATTCAGTTTATTTTTTTTATAGCGCCATTCACAACAGAATTGCCCCAAGGCGTTTGACAAGGGTATGTGGCAAACAAACAAAAAAAAATGCACCAATGAGGAAACAAACTATATGAAACTCCTGGAAAATTATTAAGGCATTTACAGATATAGTTCAGGACCTGTATTCACAAAGCATCTTAAGGCTAAAAGTAGGTCCTAACATGCCCATTTAGGAGAAACTACTAAAAAATAACGGGCATGTCAGTTATTATGTAGGACTCCTAGTATTTTATTCCATATGTTGTAATGTTAAAAAAGACCAAAAATGAACACTGTAAGTGGGCTACTTGATTACTATAAGTGAATAAATTAAACAAAATTTGTACATGAATGATTCTATCCCAAGCTTTTTGATGATCACTATAAGCGGTTTCCACTGTATTTGTTTTTATGGGAAGTTGCGCATACATTTTCACCAGCACACAATCCCCCAATCCCTGTGGTTATTGCAGGCAAGCCCATGCATAAGAACTGATGTCAGCCTAAGCGACAGAGTCTCACTCTTAGATTAGGAGTTGGGTTGCTTCCTAACAGGTTTTAGGAAAACACTGTTAAAAACTTTTAGTGCGATTTAGGAGTGGTAAGACAAAATGCTTTGTGAATTCGGGCCCAGGTTCATTATAATATTAAGAAGAGTTTTAATGTGACATAAACGACATGTTCATTCGACACAGATTCCATCTTGATAACTAAATTCCAAGACAGCACGTGCTGAAACGTGATGGTCTGTTTATATCTGTGACCTCTGCGGCCCTGTTCGGAGTGTGGGCTGGACCTGGCCCATGCAAGTAAACTCCAGTTGCAGGTGCAAACCATTATTTCAGAGGGGTGTGCAAAACCTAAACCCTACTTAATCTAGAAATACAGCCTATAACCAAGAATAACATAACAAGCAGTAAAATGAAAACATGTGATTACAAAATTAGACAGCCCATATGATAGTCAGTGCCTAAACTGAACACAGGTGTTATTCACTCTTAAGGTGACTGACCCCTGAATGTGAATGCAAAAATACCGTAACTGGCCCCTGAACCTGAATGTACATACACCATACAAATTGACATCACACCTTCCTGGGCACATCAAATTTCAACTCTGCCAATCAAATCACTGATGTGGTTTGGTGTATGTGCAGAAATGTATGAATAAGCTTTGTGTTTTCTGTCACCCTGGTTGACCGTCATCTACAGAGTAAGGATGAATGTTTCTCTCTACATTCAGTTTCACTCAATTCGCAGCCACTGGTGGGTCAAGTAATCTGTAAATCAGGGAAAACTGACGTCCTGGAAAAAAAATTATGAAACTCTAAGATTGACAATGTGCAGTCCGAATAAAATACCAGAGTTGTATGAGTACTCAAACCCCTCAGATGTAAACTGGCTTAAATGAAAAATTTGAAATTCCATAATTCCAAAACATTCTGGAAAACACTTCTTAGAAAATGATAACTTGCATAAATAATACTCAAAATTTAATGATTATTTAATTGATTACTAGAAAGAAAGAAAAGGATTTGAGTTCGTTTTTCAAAAGTCAGCCGACACCACCTGAGAACTTGTGTCATCCCAAAAGTAGGCAGGCGGGGGGAGGGGAAAGTGTTGCTGGGCTGCGTTGCTGGGCTGCGTTGCTGCGCTGCGGGTCACACGTGTCGGCCTCCCTCATGTCAGCCCGCAGGAGTTTCGACCTCAGGAAGTGCGCGACGCCCACGGTTTCGTGTGCCGGGCCCTTCATCTAGAACATGTCCGGGCATAATCTGCGCTCACCCCTCCCATCACTGAGTCACTGCAAGCTCCCAGCTACGTCTGTGATTTCACGCCCTGGCGTTCGTGCCCCTTACACGCACATGCATCTCACTGCATGACCACAAAGTGACACTGGGGCAGCCCAGAGGGGAAACGCCGCCACAGACATCTGACAGGCAGTTGTCAGGGTTGTGCTTCGACTAAAGCAGCACGTCTGCTTTCTTTAAATCAAGAAACAGTTTTATGTTTTGCCCTGTAAATGGTTCACAAAAAAAAAAAAAACCTCCTCCTGACATGAATTAATTTAATTGCTCAGCCCTAAAACTTAGCGATTTCTTGTGTCTGAGTTTTTTCTCGGAAACGATACCAGGTCTGAGTTAAGGGTGACTGTGACTGCATGTGGTAATACGTTTGAGAAGATGAACCTGGGGTATTGCTGGAAGGGCGGAGGGACCGAGGGAGGGAGAAAGGCAGAGGGAATCCACTCATACATTTCTTACAGCTGTTACCTGTATTTCTTCCTGGGAAATTCTGTATACTTAGCAGGATTCTCTGCCTGAAGATGAAATTACTAAACCGACCAATAAAAGATGATGCAACAAACAACAAAAATAACACAAGAACCAATATCAGTGACAAGAATTGTAATTTCTTTTGATGTGAGGGAAGTGTCCATATAGCGATTTGACTTTGACGGATGCGAAATCAGATTGCGCTCATTAACTGTTGCTCACACCTTGCAGTGTGCCTGAGTGCACTCAGTGAACTCCTCTTGCACTCAGTCGTTCAGGTAGAGAAGCGATGCAGCTGATGCAAGGACAGCGATTCCGGCAGCCAGCGCAACACCTAGATGACAAAGATGAGGGTGAGAAATGATTATCCATGATGAATCTTAAACATGGTGAGGATTTGCACGCTCTGTGGCCTCACAAGCCTGTAATACTGTCCTGACACGCAATGCTTCAAATGACCATGTCATCACCGAATTAAATAAATGATCAGATTGTATCTTCTTATCATTGATAGGCTATTAATAATGTAATTCTTAGATTTCATTTAAGATCTACATAACCGTTAGAACTTCAGACTTGCGGTCTATTCTCTTGATTTAGCAGCAATCCATATTAATAAAAATACATTTAAATTCTTTTCCCAATGGAATACATATTCAATTAAGAATCAGCTTATAAAATTAAGTCCTGGTGTCTAAGCTCCTGCATTCCATTGGCGTGGGATCATCTCAAACTCCCACACACAGAAAAAAAATGACATTCACAGCTACAGTATGTGGTGGAATCCTGCCGCAATGGCCGGTCTTCAAAGCTCGGCACAGGGGCAGGGGGCACAGTTCGTGTGCCAGCCCAGTGAGTCAGACAGGTGTAAGAGCTCACATACTTTCACCTTTTCCCACTGCATCTGCGTTGTTAGGGAGTGCGTGTCTCCAGGTGTACCTGTGAGTGTCTCTCTTCCGGCCAGTCCCTGAGGGTGGGTCTGGCCCCTTTTGTTTTTACTGCATCTATTCAACCCCACCCCACTCCACCTCCCCCGCACCACCTCCCCCGATGGCTATCTTTTGTCTTAACTCCGCCCACTCTGCTCTTGCTAAGCCCTCCATCACCCTTGACCCCCCAAAAATCTCACCTCAACCCCCCCCCCCATGTCATCTGGCTCTGCCTGCAGTCCCAACCAGAGGGAGTGGTATTCTCAGGTATGACTATACAATTAGAGACTGATTTATGCTCCAGCTAGCCAACCCACTGGCAAGGCATGTCTCCAGAGCACAACAAAACTTCATTTTCCTGAGCACGTGTCGTGGAGGAAAAGCTTGCTGCTGTTAACGTGACAGGACTCACGTACCGACATAGCGGTGCGCCACCTTCTGGATCGCGGGAGACACAGCCTGAGCCTGCAGTGCGTCGGCCAGCTTTTCCTCCAAAACGACTTCTGAATTAACTGGAAAAATACAAGCAGTAAAAATGTTTTTGCACTTTGAGGAAATGATGTTGTCAAATAGACAAAAGGGCAACTATGACAGCTTGTGAACAAAACACTCTTAAAAAAAACATCCATTTATCTTCCAACCATTTATCCTGATCGGGGCCAAATGGGGGCGGTGTCTAAACTAGGCCTGTTACGATAATTACGTTAACAACTAACGATATATGGACATAACTTCGATAGTTTTTTCCGACCTTGGTATTGGCAAATTGCGTTTACATGTGTGTTTGTTTACATGAGAATGAATGCCCCCAACCAGTCGTGCTGATTCATGTGAGTGTGAAGGCAGCCACGCAATGCCTGACCATCTGTGATCCCTGAATGTTCATACTTCTAGCCCCAATGTGCCAGGCAAAGCTGCACTTACGTCACGTTTGTTTATTATGTGTGGTATAACAATAAATAAGAATTTCACCAAAACTAACCATGCACTATGTACTTATAGTATGCAAGACAGGGTTAAAATCATTAACAAAATCATTTCCATAAAATGATACAAGACACAAAAATAAAAAACAAGTACACGATAACTTCAAATACAATAAGCATCAAATACTTCCCATTGCCATTTTTTAATACCATTTAGTTAAAGTAATGATCTGTTTATCTTAGCACCTTGGTTTGCATACAAATTGGTTCGCGACCACTTTCCTGGAACGGATTGTGTTCGTGAACCGTAGGCACCACTGTAGTTAGTATAACCTGAAGTAAAGTATATAACTACTAAATAGATTTACACAATTAAAATAAAAACTAATTTAATAAAAACAAAAAAGTTTTATAATGACATAAAAAGTCAAAAAATCAAAACGATAATAATACTGATGCAAAATCATGTACAGCGGTGCCTACGGTTCAGGAACTCAATGCTTTCCAGGAAAGTGGTCGTGACCCTATTTGTACACAAACCAAGGCAATTTTTCCCCATAGGAAAGCATTGAAATTCGATTAATTTGTTCACAAGTCTACTAAATAATCATTTTTGTTAATTGAAATTAAACGAAAAACACGATATAGTGTGACAACGGGTGGACTGAGGCATCGCGGGAGCAGACAGAGACATGGAGACTTGCTTGCCGGGGAAATCAGGGTCTTTATTAAGAGTCCTTAACCCTCGAATTGTTGTTAATGTTAATGGTAGCATTTCCCTATTGTCGCGGGTGTGTTTGCCCGTGTCTTGTGTGTACCTGGTCCGATCCTCGTGTGTATTTAGCATGTGTAAATCTTCCACCGTGTGTGCATCTTGCAGTTTGGTGTCTGACAACCTTGTGTTTCCCGTCTGTGTATTTGGGTTCAGTCCTCGTTGGGTGCCTGTTGTGGTCCTTCTATTTACAATTGCACGTGGGGCATGCTGGGACATGCTGGGACATGCTGGGACATGCGCCCCGCCGGTGCTACACTGTAAAAAAAATCCCGTTGTTTTTACGGAAAAAAGCTGGCAGCTGTGGTTACCAGAATTATTCTGTAAAAAATACTGTACACGTGTAAACAACTTTACAGAAACATCTATAAATTGTACTGGATTTCAATGTAAAACAACCACCAACTACATGTAAAGTTTACTTGGTTTCAGTGTAGAATAAACAACGATTAGATATAAATTATACTGAAATAACTGGTACAACAGCAGCATGGCCCTGCTAAATTAACAGAAAGAAGATGTTGAATCTACGAATTCACAATGTAAAATGTTACAGTTCTTGTATGTGAAATTGACAGACTGTTTTATAAAGCTGTTTACATTCTTAACGAATTTTTTTACAGAATTACTCAGCCACAGCTGCCAGCACTTTCTTGCCGAGGTAACACGCTCCTGAAAAGAACTACATCAGGCACCCAAAGAGCACCGAACCAACTATACACAGGAAACACGAGGTTGTCAGACGCTCAACTGTAAGACGCATACACGGTAGGAGATTTACGGACGCTAATTACACACGAGGATCGGACAGGGTACACATAAGACACAGGTAAACACAGGCGACAATAAGGGAATATAACCATTAGCAATAACAACAACAATACAAGAGCTATTTACAAATGCGCGCGGGGCATGCTGGGACATGAGCCCCGCCGGTGCTGCAGTATTTTTATCACCTCAGTGGAAAAATACCTTCTTATCAACGGACTGGAGGTGTTGCCATGAGGTGAAGTTCTGACGGTAGCCCCGAATGTACCGTCAAAAGCTGTCTGACAAACCAGAAAATCCTGAGTTGTGTGGACTATTTCTTGTTGGTTCGTAATGCACGTAGCAAAAGGCAAGTGTTGATATACCATTTAAAGTTCTACTGTTTCTCATCTGTAAAGCACAGAATATTCATTTGTAAAATGTAACACGGTTTCTTTCAGTATAAACAAAGTTGACCTGATTAAAAAAAAATATTATTTTCACACCGTTATGGTGTAATTTTAACTGTATTGTACTGGTTTTTATATTATAGTTTGTTTGAGTTTAAACTAAAGTAATTTGTTAAACTTGTTTAAATTTGTTTAACTTAATATATTTTTACTGAAAAATTAACAGTTGTTTTTTGTTAAGTATTTTACAAAATCTTAATGTCAAATATACGCTGCTCTATTGTTTTTCCTTTTACAGTTTTTTTATGTCGTTATTTTACAGAATTTCTCAGTTAATTTTTTACATTTTTTACAGTGTACACTAGTATAAAAAAAGGAATCTGGTCAAGGAATCTGTTCGTCAACCAAATTTTGTATGTAAACCAATGCATTTTTTTTCACTAAATTTTTGGTCGCGAACCTAATTGTTTGTACAGCGTTCGTGAACCGCAGGCACCACTGTATTTATTTTTTTGGTTGTGTGGTTTTATTTGTGTTTTATTTATTGAGGATATTTACATTTTTTCACATTCCAATTTCAATGTCTGAACATGCTTTAGAATTAAAAGTTCATCGCTCTTTGAAAGGGTGTACTTCAATTTCAGTTCAATTTAATTTCATATAGCGCCTTTCACAACAGAGTCACCCCAAGGTGCTTTACATGGGTGTGTAGTGATACATTCCGGCATTATTATGCTGTGAGTTTATCATTATATCAGGGCATAAAATGACAATAATATTGTTTATCACAATCATTTCTGGGACAATATACTGTCCAACAGAAATTATTATCGTGACAGACCTAGTCTCACCTAGCCAGCACAAGGCACAAAGGCACAAAGGCAAAAATACCCTGAAATGGGACAGCAGTCCATCACGAGCTACGCCATAGGGTGCTGCATGGCTCAGCGGGTTAAGACACTGCATCTCATCATTGAATCACCGGTTCAAATCCTAGTGTCGGCAGAACTGTTTTTCAAAATGTACCTTGCTTTGGATAAAAGCTAATTAAATTATAATTGCACAGGCAATTTGGAGATAGTGCGGCATATCTTTGCACTGTGGGAGGAAACTGGAATACCTGGAGGAAACCTGGACGTGGGAAGAATATTCAAACTCTCCACACAGGGGGAGTGAGTTGCGAAACCCAACCCACTGGTACACAGTAACAGCGCTACCCTCTGAGCCACCGTCACTCCCCAAACTGGTGCACAGATGTTCAAAATCAGGTTATAATGAGCAGCACTGTCGCCTCATACCTGAAGGGGAAGGGGTTCGAATCCCAACTGCACTCTGCGTATGGAGGTTACACATTCTGCACGTGCACTGTACTTCCAGGGAAAGGCTCAGGTTGCACCCAGCCACATACTGGATAAGCGATGAATAGATGATTTCAAAAGGTCTACCACCAAGTTTCAACCGGCTAGCGGCCAGTCGAATTCTCGGATGACATTCCATGGAAGCCAGCGGCACGATGCTTTTGCACAGTGTTCTTATTCACCCAACATAGCCGTCACTTATTTAAAACCTGAGGCTACCCATTCATTATTGTTTCTAGCCTTCATAAAATATCTGCCTGATTTATCAGAGTCAGAAACGTGTCGTAACTAGCAGGGTGAAGTGGAGGGCTATTACTGCACGTGACAAAAAAGGGTGTGTGCAAGCTAGTTCATTAGTAGTTCGAGGAAGGTTCAGGGAAGGCAATGTTCCCGAAACAACTGGCCATCTCCCAAAGTCAAGGTGCAATACTTCCACCACATCATGACCCAACATCAAGTACCTACTAAAATATAATAATGTGTCATAGTAATAATACAAAAAAATATGATGCCACAGGAACTTACCAGTTATGACCTCCTGGGTCATATCTATTTGCTCTTCTGGGATGTCAAAGTCCAGCATCTCCTTGAAGCGTTCTCCCACTTCTGCTGCACCCTCATCGGGGAACATGTAGTCACACAGGCTGAGACTGGTGCCTGGCAAGGGGGCAAACACCCGCTGTGGAAGAGGCTGCTGTGATGCCATTTTCCCTGGGGGACAAAACAGCATGACATGAAATGACGCTTCGTTTGTCATTTGCACAAATACGAGTACAGGTACACTGGAATGCTACATGTCACATATCCCATCATGCTCTCCTTTGAGATATACACACATATAAGCAGAGGAGAATGAAGCTACAGTATCCTGGCGAGGCCGGGATTTGAACCAACGACCTTCCGATTACAGGCAATGAGACCTAACCCACACACCACTGGGAGGGGGAGCTATGGCAGACTGATACGGTGTGGGCAGTGGTGGCTTAATGGTTAGGGAAGCACACTTGTAATTGAAAGATTGCAGGTTCAAATCCCTGACCAGCAAGGCACCACTGAGGTACCCTGAGCAAGGTACCGCCCCCAAGCACTGCTCCCTGGGCGCTGAATTAGCTGCCCCCTGCTATGTCACGATGTCACATATGGGTTAGATGCAGAGGACACATTTCATTGTTGTGTGCTGTGGTGTGTCAACAATGACCACTGATCACCTAATTCTAATTAACATTACAATTAGGTATTAGCACAACATTAAAAATAAAAACAAAGAACACAAATACTATATTGCCCACTAACAAGTGAACAATGCTTTTTTTTTTTAAATAGGAAGAAACTACATCTTTACAAAGCAGATTCCTTTCATGTTAGTAAATCATAAAACGCCCAGACAATGGTGATGCAAGGGCTACAGTCTGTCCTTCCGGGGCCTTGACCGTCTATAGTAAACGAGAAAATGAAATAGAACTCCGAGACCCATTTGTGACAAAAGCCAGTTTGTCATCATAGGCAGTGACGGTAATGTCAGACAAACCCGAACCGGATTAACCGGACTGAACGAGGTTATGTAGTTGGGCTTATGAAATGGTAGTTTGGATTTTCGTCAAATTCCCACACAGACGTCAAAGACAGAGCTACCCATTTAGTTTTAATTGATATTTTTTGCATATTATCCGAAGGCAAAGTGCAGAGATGCGCAAATTCTAAAAGACAATGGAGGCTGTACAATTCAAGTCAGCGAACACTGCTTTCTGAGCTTTCACAGTGCAGATTCCACCACACTACTTTGCACAACTTTTTCTTC